TTAGTAAATGATTATACAGGATGTTTTATGCTTAACTTACATTAGTTACAATATATCTAAATACACCATCCTACACCAACCTATACCATCCTACACCTTTATACACCTCCTACATCATTCTTTACCTCCTTAATCATACTACACCATGTAACACCAGCATATAGCACCCTACACCATCCTACACCTCTTACTTCATAATACACCATCTTACACCACCATGCACCATCCTACCTCATCCTAGTTACACAATCTTCCGAAATACCACACAGGCTGACATCAACATACACCATCCTACATCATCCTACACCATCCTATACCATCCTACACCTCCTACATTATCCTACACCATCATACACCATCCTACACCTGCTAAACCATCGTAAACCATTATTCACCACTCTACACCATCTCACACCTGCTTCACCATCGTACACAAGCATATACTAGCCTATTGCCAAGCATCAAAAAGTTCCATCACTATTTACGCAAATACAAAGAAATAAGTGTATTTTTAAACAAAAAAGAAGTACTTTTCTGAAACATGTCTGAATAACGTAAACAAATAAGAAATTAATTGCGTCAAATTAACTAAAACCTACTCGTTTGGTTTCCAGGAAGGTTGAAAAATTCTAAATGCTGAATGAAAACAGACGTGGCGCCGGCAATCCATTTCCAACAGCATATAGGGAGGGGGGGCTCGTCTTGTGTTAGCTCTCTGGTGTTGATAGTAGTATATTTAGTAAAGACTTAGTAAGGCTGTAGTGGTGAGGGTAGTACCAGTGTTTCTTCCAGACTTTTTTCTCCGGGGGATGCACTTGAAATTTTCGGGGGTGGGGTGGGGGGGGGGGGACACTGTCAAAAGTGTATATTTTCTATATAAATTCCATTTGTCGAAGAGATGCCTGGAAGAAACTCTGGGTAGTACATGTAGTTTACGACATAATAAGGTTCTAGTGTTGAGTGTAGGGCATGTAGTTTACGATATAATAAGGTTGTAGTGTTGAGTTTGATACACTTGGTTTACGACATAGTAAGGTTAAGTGTTGAGGGTAGTACATGGCGTTTACGACTTGGTAAGGTTGTAATGTTGAGGGTAGTACATGTAGTTTACGACATAGTAAGTTGTTGTGTTTAGGGTAGTACATGTAGTTTACGACATAGTAAGGTTGTAGTTTTGGGGGTAGTACATGTAGTTTACGACATAGTAAGGTTGTAATGTTGAGGGTAGTACATGTAGTTTACGACATAGTAAGGTTGTAGTGTTGAGTGTAGTACATGTAGTTTACGACTTGGTAAGGTTGTAGTGTTGAGGGTAGTACATGGCGTTTACGACTTGGTAAGGTTGTAGTGTTGAGGGTAGTACATGTAGTTTACGACATAGTAAGGTTGTAGTGTTGAGTGTAGTACATGTAGTTTACGACTTGGTAAGGTTGTAGTGTTGAGGGTAGTACATGTAGTTTACGACTTGGTAAGGTTGTAGTGTTGAGGGTAGTACATGTAGTTTACGACATAGTGTGGTTGTAGTGTTGAGGGTAGGACATGGAGTTTACGACATAGTGTGGTTGTAGTGTTGAGGGTAGGACATGGAGTTTACGACATAGTGTGGTTGTAGTGTTGAGGGTAGTACATGTAGTTTACGACATAGTAAGGTTGTAGTGTTGAGTGTAGTACATGTAGTTTACGACTTGGTAAGGTTGTAGTGTTGAGGGTAGTACATGTAGTTTACGACTTGGTAAGGTTGTAATGTTGAGGGTAGTACATGTAGTTTACGACTTGGTAAGGTTGTAGTGTTGAGGGTAGTACACTTAGTTCACGACATAGTAAGGTTGTAGTGTTGAGGGTAGTACATGTAGTTTACGACATAATACGGTTGTAGTGTTGAGGGTAGTACATGTAGTTTACGACATAGTAAGCTTGTAGTGTTGAGGGTAGGACATTTAGTTTACGACATAAAAGGCTGTAGTGTTGAGGGTAGGACATGTAGTTTTGGACAAAGTGTGGTTGTAGTGTTGAGGGTAGTACATGTAGTTTACGACATAGTAAGGTTGTAGTGTTGAGTGTGATACATTTGGTTTACGACATAATAAGTTGTTGTGTTGAGGGTAGTACATGTAGTTTACGACTTAATAAGGTTGTAGTGTTGAGTGTAGGGCATGTAGTTTACGACATAGTAAGGTTGTAGTGTTGAGGGTAGTACATGTAGTTTACGACATAATAAGGTTGTAGTGTTGGGGGTTAAAAAGTTTTTGGCATGGTAAGGTTTTTAGTGTTGAGGATGTTAAATTTAGTTTTTGACCTGTTAAATTCTCCAGAGATGAAGTTTAAAAATTAGTTTTTGACATGTGGTATGGCGAAAAATTTAGAATTCGTCTGAGTAATCCTTTCTAAACAAGGAGACGAAACTAAGATTCTTACATTAAATGGTCTAGTCGTAAATTACTGTATATTGTCTAATTATCAATCAAAAATATCTCTTATACACTTGAAACTACTCACTTAATAAGTAGAATGGGACCTCCTGGTCTAACGGTAGAGAGCTAGAGTTCGAATCCAGGCTCAAGTCAGTAGAACGTCTTTTGGGTACCAAACTCACGTCAGGGAAAGTAAAGGCATTGTGTTGATCACAATTTTCGTTCACATGCCGAGGTCACAGAAACAGGTGAACTCTACTTCACTTGCCCAAGATTCGAAAGGTGAACTTTACTAATTTGACAATAAGTAGACCTAACAAATCCGTGAATAAAGAAAAAAAATATTCTTACTTGATCGATACGCTCCCCGTGCTATAAACTCTCAGGAGGTAACGACATTCAACCCGAGGGTCAAAGGTGGATGGGATGAGGCAATACTTGCCCTTCATTAGGCGAAAACGTGAGTACACGCTTCGGGATTTTGAGAACGTGCTTTGTTGAATAGTCTTCGTTTGAATGTGCAGTCTGTAAGTCCTAGTTTGTTCCATCTGAAGAATCAAGTAGGGATAAAAAGTGTGATACTGAAACATAACCTTTGTGTTTCTTGTTTGAAAATAGCAGATATAATTTATATATATATATATATATATATATATATATATATATATATATATATATATATATATATATATATATATATATATATATATATATATATATATATATATATATATATATATATATATATATATATATATATATATATATATATTGGAAACAGTGTTCTCCTGTTCTCCTTCTTTATCGTTCTTAATTTTTAGTGTTGGAATTTTATGCCCCATTTTAGGTCGTTGACTCCGATTTCAGATTGCTTTTCTTTTTGGAATTGCTTCCATCTACTTTGTTCAACCAAGAATAAGCTACAATTTTTTGGGAGTTGTCTCTCCTAGCAGTGTGGCTGTCCCAACTAACAAATCTCACCTTCTTCTGGGGTTCGATGTCGAAACTTTTCGGATTCGCAAACATGAGCTTTACCGACTCGACCACCCCCCCCCCCATGTTATTTCGGTTATCTCACCAGGATGTTTTAGTTTCAAGTACCACTTTGTGAAAGAAACCCTGCATGCGCTCAGCAAGGCCGCGGCTGAATGTATGTACACAATCAATCGTAAAAATCATCTTTACAGCTACCAAATAAGACTAATGGTCTTGATTGATTCGGTGAGTACAAATTATTACTTTCGTTTGCGTTGTTATTACGCTGAAACTCATAATAGCGACTTCGGTTCAAGATGTTACGATGAAATTATAACTTATTTTTCTTCAAAACTGTATCAATTAAATATATAGTTTTTTTTTGTCTGTTTGAAATAATCGTTTGCTTCTTTAACTCAAACTTTGCTTTGCTTTAGGGCTTTTCATGTGAAAAATAGGACTAAAAACAATTGTTTATCAATGTCTAGTTAATTATAATTTAAAAATGTTTTGTTTCTAATCTAAAAATTCAAATGAATTATCAGAATGAGCAATGTTTATTAACAATGATAAAATTCGAAAGATAGTTTTTAGTAAGATAACTCTTGCCTGTAAAATAGTAAAACCAATAACGTGGTGCTGTCCCCTTTTCTTGATATCTTTTGTCTGTCTGACATCTTGATCAAGGGAAATAATCAAGTCATTCTCATCGTCCGCTGTAAGCGCATACTGAAAACAAAAAAAAATTTTTTTTATTAGCGACCAGTGTTTCTTCGAACGAAATGGAACGAAATGGAAACTTACATAGAAGATATAAACTTTTACTAGTGTCCCCCCCGGAAATTTTAGTCCGCCCCCCCCCCCTGCCCCTGAAAATTTCAAGTACCCCCCCCCCCCTCCCAGGCAGGAAAAAATAGTCTGGAAGAAACACTGTTAGCGACAAGCCAAAGGAACAAGATACAGAGCAGAGTATTATAACCCGAACCAAAATGTCGCATTATTTATCACAAATGACAGAATCAACATATTAGTAATCTTTAAAATGTAAGTAAATTAAAAAAAAGTAGAAAATATTTTAATGTTTATATAATATTTTTTTTTATATAACCAGTCTAAGACCTGTTTAGGTCAGGCAAGATAGCCAGGTCAGGTCAGGTCAGGTCAGGTCAGGTCAAGTCAGGTCAAGTCAAGTCAAGTCAAGTCAAGTCAGGTCAGGTCAGGTCAGGTCAAGTCAAGTCAAGTCAAGTCAAGTCAAGTCAAGTCAATTCAGGTCAAGTCAGGTCAGGTCAAGTCAAGTCAAGTCAGGTCAGGTCAGGTCAAGTCAAGGTCGGGTCAGGTTAGATCAGGTTAGGTCGGGTTTGGCTAGAGGCTAGGCTAGGCTAGGCCAGGTTAGGTTAGGTTGGGTTGGGTTGGGTTAGGTTGGGCTGAGTTGGGTTTGGCTGGGTAGGGTTGGGTTGAGTTTGGCTGGGTAGGGTTGGGTTCGGTTGGGTTGGGTTGGGCTGAGTTGGGTTGGACTGGGTTGGGTTGGGTTGGGTTGGACTGGGTTGGGTTGGGCTGGGTTGGGTTGGGTTGATTTGGGTTGGGTTGGGTTGGGTTGGGCTGGGTTGGGTTGGGTTAGACACCAAACACATTCACCTGAGGGTTGTCCAGGAAACTGAAATAGTTTTCACAACCTCCAGCTCTGTCAGGCGACCTCCAATCCCCCCAAACAACGATCTCTCTCCAGCAAGAGTTTGCTCCGTGTGTCAGTATATGACATGTTGTAATGTCAGTAAAATAACGGGTAAAGTCATCAAAGCACATCCTAAAATATACATGTAAGTTTTTATTTCTTTCTCATTCAAAGGTATAGATGCAGCCCTTTGCTTCAAATGAATAAATGTAATAATTCAATTTATCGAATTAGAAGAATGAAATTAATTTTTTATTTTTCTTTTACTTTCCATTTTTCGTGTTTATAGTTATCTGTGAGGGTTTTGTTTTTATTTTATTTTTTTTTACAGTTTTTTTATGCTTTTAATACACTCTTTTTTTTTACTTTTATACTAAATTTGAGACAGCCAGCATAAATTTTAAAAAAAGGACACAATTTCAAAATTGTAGAAATTACCAAAAGTCTCCATCTTCCCTTATTTTAATGCCCAGTTTTTTTTTATCGGAGTCGCTGACTTGTTCCCATTCTTTCGACCTTGGTGGAAAAAAAAATGACACTTCGAAAAATAGAAAAGATATGAAATCGTGTTTTAACTTTATGGGATAATGTCGGATAAAATGACCTAGGGATAATGTCCTGTTACCATCTATCTTGAAATATTAGTTTGTGATTTTTTAAATTTTTTATTGTGCTCATATATGAGCTGAATTATATTTTAAATTTACAGTCATAGGGGTTTTCCATAAATGACGTCACACTCATAGAGCGGGGGAGGGGGGGGGTCCGTAATTTTGTGACGGTGTGTGATGAGGGGGAGGGGGGGAGGTTCAGATGGTGCGACGTCACACTTTTGTATTATAAAATAAACTGGGAGTTATCTCCCCTAAACTTTCTCGAATATTCTAATATAACACTACGTGGGATGTCAACTCGGAATATAGACATGATTTTTGTTTACTTAAACTTTTAAAAATAGAATAAAATCTAGTAGAAAATATAATTAGTACTTTATAAATTTACATGCGTTTTTTGAGAAATCGGAAATAGCGTAAATTAGTACTTCCGGTCAACAGAAATTACTCAAAATATGATAGAAGGTAGAGAATTAGATCTTTTACTTACATGTGAAATTTCATTTATCTATCTGAATTAGTACTCAAGTTATAGGCTTTTGAAAAATTCAAAGTAGAAAAAGTACCACTTCCGGTTATCGGAAATCGCTCAAAAGTTGATACGGATCTATGATTTTGATATAATACTTATATATGAAATTTCATCAACCTAGCTGTAACGGTACTCAAGTAATCGTGTTTACACACAGACAGACACACAGACACACAGACACACACACACACACAGACATACGGACAAGATTGCAAAATTATGTTTTTCCGTATCAGTGAGGTGTAAAACGTCGAGATTTGTAAAAATCTTGATTTTTTTTTTGCACGATTACAATACTTTCTCTATACTACGTATATACGAGAAAGTAAAAGCAATGTTAGAAAACGAATTTTAGACGTTATTTTGCGTTTTAGAAAACTGTTTAAATAATTGTAATAACAATTGATTAAAATACTCTATTTTGACAGAGTTCAGGCAATTTTTTGGAAAAATATGGCTGTTTAAAAAAAATTCAACTGCAATTTTTAGGGGGGGGGGGGGGGGGTGTAGGCTGAGGTGTGGCGTCATTTTAGGGGGGGGGGGAATGGCTTTTTGTGACGACGTGTGACGGAGGGGAGGGGGGGGGGTAAAAACGTCAAAAAAAAGCTTGACTTCATTTATGGATGACCCCTAATGTGTTCTTTATAAAAATAGAGATTTTTCAATTTAAAATTTACATAATTATGTTTGATTGATTACATTACTTATTGTATCCAGAGATGCTAAAGAATCAGTGCGCTAAAGCTAAAGCGATTCAGCGAACCAAGTAACATATTCGGACGATTATCTCATCGTTCCTAAGAAACAGGTGATTCCAAAACGTACCTGTCACTCCAGGCACCCGTCCACTCCGTCTTACCCCACGGGTTTCTGAGTCGTACCATCGGGATCGTCTTAACAATGAACATGGCCATTTTGCCAGTGGTCTTGAGTGGGAGGTGTCGCACGTCTGTGATGCTGTAGGCGTGGTTTCGCACAAGGCCGACACGCTTCTCGGTTGCTCCGCAAATGTCTTTCTGGGGATTCAAAGAACTCCGTGTAAAGTTAAGGCTAGGTTTGTAGCAGAGGCGTAGCGATGGGGGGGGGGGGGGGGGGGCAGGGGGGACATTTGTCTTAGGGGGCGCCAAAATGGATTGGAAAAAGTAATCAAAAGTTTGAGGGGGGGGGGGGCTTCAAATCGAAATTTTGAGGGGGGGGGGGTGTGCACATCGAAAGTTTGTCCCCGGGCGCCGGGAAGGGTCGCTCTGGTTTGTAGATGTAAAAATTCTGGTTTCGACTTAATAGAGCGAAGACAGCAGCCTCTGACTAGCTTACACAATCTGTAGGACAGACAATATACAATAACCAGTCCCACAGACGAGAACCACCTCCCACAGACAATAACCAGAAACTAGATTTCATTCTGTACATAAAAGATAACAGATACTCTGCCTTTAACTAACCAAAACAATACCGATGGGAAATAGTTTGGCTTCAACGGCCTTTATCACACATGAAACACACGAAACAATAGCCTATTAGACACGCAACTACTGACATGCCTTACATGAATAGATGCACAAATGATGGACTGACTAGACCTCGCTTTGAGCAACGAGTCAAAGAGATCCTGTTTCTGTTGGTCAGTGCCAACCTTGACCTCAAGACTTTCAGCAACGCCCCCAGTAAGGTCCACCATGACGTCCTCTGGACATCTGGATATCAAAGCTTGGTAGCAACCGATGAACCTGAACATATTCGTTTAACATTTTTGTTTCGTAATATTTAAACAATTGGGAATTTTTTACATGAATCTTTTTCTACGAACAGTTCTAAAATAGTATGTAAAAATAAACATTGTTATAATCATACATCAAACATTACATCTAATAAAACATCCAACATTTTAAGATTTTAACATACAACATAATTTCATTTAGAATAACATCTACTTTATCATCCACATTGCATGTTACGAACACCAATCTATCAGCCAGATAGTTGGCGAACGCTCCCGGATTCGTTTAAATGATTATACACAGATGGTGAAAAGCCTAAATAAAAGAAAGCTAACACAATAGTTCACTAGGACTCGTACTTGACGTCTAGGGGAAACACTAGAGAAACTACTGATGCCAACAATACATTTAATCTGCATATAACTTTTAATGAGTGTACAAATTCAAGGCCGTACTCTAGATTTATACAGGATAAAATAGATTTACAGAATGAACAAAACCCAACTTACAATTGGTAAGGAAAAATACTATGATACACTATCACAGCTTATAATACTTCAGAAAAATCACCACAGTTTACACAACACTGCTAAAAGCATACAGTATTACTTAACCACAAGTAATATAAGAATATGCTGCTTAAACTACTTAGTACTACACGGCGACACACAGGGCTTATTATCTCTCAACGAAGTCTGGTCAAGTAACTGCCTAGAGAAACGTGTGCGCGGTCTATTTATCGACTTAGGCAACATGGAAGGTCACCTTCAAATCATAAGGCTATTGGTTGGGGTATCACCTGGTCCGAATCAACCAATCATATCATAATGGAAAAGTACTGAGTCTAAGACTTTCTTAAGACAGTGGAAAAAACCAGTGATTGCACCACAGACCATTTATGGTATGATAACAAAAGCAAAAATAAAAATTACCAGACCTAAGTAGGTCACACTGGTAATTTTTATTTACAACATTACATCCAACATTACATACAACATTACATCCAACATTACATACAATATTACATACAACATTACTTCCAACATTACATCCAACATTACATCCAACATTACATCCAACATTACATCCAACATTACATCCAACATTACATCCAACATAATTTCAAACATTACATCTAACATTACACCCAACATTACATCCAACATTACATCCAACATTACATCCAACATTATATCCAACATTACATCCAACATTACATCCAACATTACATCCAACATTACATCCAACATTACATTCAACATTACATCCAACATTACATCCAACATTACATTCAACATTACATCCAACATTACATCCAACATTACATCCAACATTACATCCAACATTACATCCAACATTACATCCAACAGTACATCCATTATTACTTGGCATATGCCTTTTCCAACAGTGCTGCCCAGAACTCATCACCAGATTTGGAGTGTGTGAAGATAAGTCTCCCACCTCTCGTGGGCAGGTAATCGTCTATCACGACATCCATCCACTGGCCAAAGCTCCAGATCTTGAAGTGGAAGATACCTGACAGGCGATTTAACGGTTGGTTTAGTAAAGGCAAGACATTGTATGGAGAAGTACTGAGGAGTGAACGGTGCTTTATAAAAGAGGAGTCTAATCAATTTACCTACATAGCAGACTATAATTAACCTTTTGACGTACTCGTATATATTTAACTCACCTGCATACCGGAATATCACCATATCTACATTCCAGAATGTAATCAACGTTTGTACATATTCGAATATAATCAACACACCTACACATTCAAATATATTCTACTCACCTGCATATTCGAATATAATCTACTCACCTGCATATTCGAATATAATATACTCACCTACATATTCGAATATAATCTACTCACCTGCATATTCGAATATAATATACTCACCTACATATTCGAATATAATCTACTCACCTGCATATTCGAATATAATATACTCACCTACATATTCGAATATAATCTACTCACCTGCATATGCTAACGCTGGATAAAAGACCTGCTTCTTGGAATCTGGAACTACCTGTACAAATAAATTTTTGTAATTAGGTTACAGCCAATTGATTATTTAACAACCAACATAATTAAACATATGTCTTCGAACGTGTTATTGGACCCAATAGATTAATCTCCACCTGTTATGAAACCCTTATTTTAAAAAGTATCGACACCTGAATTTAATACAGGTATTCACATATGAATTAGACACCCACATTTCAAACCTCTATTTGTCACCGCTATTAAGTACCTGTATTTTGCACATGTATTTGACACCTGTGGTATCAGTATTTCATGTCTGCGTTAGACACCGGTACTTGACAACTACATTTAACACCGCTGTGTGTGGCACCAGTATTTAACGCCTGCGTTTAACATACGTAAATGAAACACGAATTTTGCACCTAAATGTCAAGTTCACTTTTCGAACCTGACAGTCAAGTGAAGTAGAGTTCGCCTGTTTCTGTGACCTCAACATTGTGTGATCAACCCTATGACCAGCCGCCTTTAATTTCTCTAACGAAAGTTAGGTACCAATCAAATCTGAGCGGACTGACATGATCCCAGATTCGAACTCGGGACTGCCGGCATAGCAGTAAGTGCTCTACTACTCGACCACGCCGTCTCCACAAAGAAACAAAAACTCACGTTTTCCCACAGTTGCCTGTCATGACAGACACTCACGCACGCCGCTACAAATGTGCAGTTGCCAAGGTTCCCTTGTGAGATGTTTTCTGTCTTCACGGTGCCAAAAACAAACTTTGGGTTCCTGATTATTTCCTGATGTACAAAAGTAAAGTTCGCTTTTTACTAAATACTGATCAAGTACAGGCAAAAGGGACGGAACTCTACTTCACTTGCCCAATAGACCGTCAGTTTTGAAAAGGGAACTTTACTTTTACAGGCAAAATAGAAAATCTAATTGACACAAGTTTAGTTTGCCAAAATTAAGATAGGCGCTTCATTTTATTTATACGTGTATTACACTTCTGAAAAAATAAATAATGTTTTTTCTACACAAAAATTGAATTAGTATTAGGTATCAATGCTTGCATTAACAAAAAAATACTACTTTAAACTGTGGGTATTTTACGGTAAAATGTTTACATTACGAATTCTCTTATATGGACTGAATTAAAATATTTTTCGTAAACAAATCATGCTAATTAGTTTGTTTTTATTGAACAACATAATAATATTTTAATTAATTAATTACTTCTTTAAAATTACTGAATATGTTACGGTAGACTGTTGTAAAGGTTTTACATTCTGCATTTTATCATATGGACGCAATTAAATTATTTTTATTAAACAAAGGTTAATTAGACCGATATTTGTTTTTACTATAACTATTTATTAATTTTGATACCTAATTTCCATAGATTGTTATGAATTATCTCACGCGGAATAAAAGATGTTGACGTTTATATGGGAATTTAAATTATACTACAAAAAGTTTTAGATTTTGATAGATACCTTTAGCCAACTAGATTCAGGTACAAAGTTCAGCTGAATGAACTCAAAGATGTAAAATACTGCTATAATATTACTATATTGATTTACCTTTCGAGCGTTTACTCCCGATTTAGCTGGTGCTGTAAGATCTAATTCCAATTCAAAACGTATTTTAACCTTCTGACTTGTCACCATTTCTTAATATAACAAAGTAAATTTCCCTTTCCAAACCTTACGGCCTTTGGGGCAAGTAGAGTTCATCTGTTTCTGTGACCTCAGCACATGAAGGGGTAATGTGGCCAGCACTATGCCCAGCCGCCTTTATTTGCCCTAACGTGAGTTAGGTACCCATCAGAGATAAGTGGACTCAATGACGGTTTAGTGACTGACTTAAATCCGGATTCGTGATTTACGGGTTAGCAGTCTAGCTCTCTACCGCTAGACCACTCAAACCCTAATACCACAAATACATTATTTTAAAGGTAAGACAAAAAAGTTAAACTATTTCTTTACACGGGGTCTTTTCCATTCGATGCCTTTGTCGGTGTTGTTGAAGCACAGAGAGCTTATGATAGGTGGAAATTCTGGGTCTTTGAACAGGATCCCAGTAGACAGACAATGGGCGCGTAGCTCAGCGTAGTTTTGTTCTCTAAATAGCTGGGGTTTCTTGTCGCCGTTTGCCATGGTGTACTCACATCAACTTTGTATAGACAAGGCAGTAGATTAGAAGAATATGCAGCTCTTACAAAGCACATACACTCAACCCCCACCCCACCCCTCAGTTAAATCACCCCCCCGACAACCCCTCCCCACTGTCAAGTACCACCTGTCAATTAAAACCCGTTAAAATTACCCCACCTCCACTCTTGAAAATACTAAATACTTATTATCAGGGGCTTAGCTAAGTCGTATGTCACCCGGTGTGCCACTCATGATGTCGCCCCCCCCCCCCCCTAATAAAAGGAGAAGTATATATATATATATATATATATATATATATATATATATATATATATATATATATATATATATATATATATATATATATATATATACATATATAACTTGAAACAAAAATCGATCTCATAGTAAATTATTAGATATGGTGTCAACCCCAGCCCGATCTTCGACTTATCAGTTATTGGAATCATCTAAACATTTTTTTTCTCTGTCAATTTTGTTCATCCCCCCCCCCCCAATGAAACAGCTTTATATTGAGTACGGTTAATTATAACGATGTTTATCTATAATCAGGGATTAATACAACTGGAATTAGCACTGTTTTCACTTTAGTTAACTCGTTTTCTTCATGGTGTCATCCCCCCCTCCCCTCCCCATTGTCGGAATATTCAATTTGCACTTAAAGAATTAACTCTAATTTATCATTAATTGAAGTGGCAAAATCATTTTTCTTTGTATATATTTTGAAAAGTGTTGGTCTTGGTGTCACCCCACTAAATATTGTCACCCGGTGCGATACGCACAGAGTTTCTTCTTTATATAATTTATATAGAAAATATATACTTTTAACAGTGTCCGCCCCCCCCCCCCTTGAAGAAGGTGTACCGCCCCCCCCCCCCCGAAAATTTCAAGTGCCCCCCCCCCCCCCGGAGAAAAAAAGTCTGGAAAAAACACTGGATCCGCACAACCCGCCCACAGCCTCGCGACGCCTCTGCCTATTATACATGATTTTGATTTACACAATTTCTCAACATTCTAGGTGCCCGTCATGAAGAATTTAATAAATAATTCGTGTTTTATTTTTTCTCAATGAATTCAGCGAAACAGCAAAACCGGCAAGTTGTCCTACATATAAACTTATCATTTAAGATTTTTTAACCCATCCCTGTCCATATCCTAATCCTTTCCCTAACCCTACGCATTACAATAACCCTACACGCATCCATATTCCTAAACAGAACACTTTCCATATTACGTTGGCGAAGTTTTAAATACACACTATACGGAAGTATATATATATAATATATATATAAATATATATATATATATATATATATATATATATATATATATATATATATATATATATATATATATATATATATATATATGTATATATATATATATATATATATATATATTTATATATATATATATCATATATATATATATATATATATATATATATATATATATACTATATATATATATATATATATGAGAGAGAGAGAGAGAGAGAGAGAAAATAGAGACAGGGAGAGGGGGAAGAGAGAGAAAGAAAAGAAAGCGAAGTGAAACATTACGCCTATTGCGTGTATAAAAAAATGTTCTACTTGATTTTAATGTTATAGTTTATTGAAGTCGATTTTTATACTGCTGGTGTGGCTTATAAAATTGCATTGTGTTTTTGTTGTGTGTGTGGGTTAAATGTGTAGGGTATTGTAGAAACCGTTATCAATCGCAAATTAACGCTTAGATTACACGATGAATAAGGCGATGTTAAGAGGTATGATGGTTGAGTTACACCTCTTTTACCGTCAAACTTCTTTATAAATAATATTTTTATACTTACATACCATAGATCATGTGTTATGATTTTTTTTGTTGATTAAGTGTATCTAGTTTAATCGTAAATTGTTCAATAAATCAGAGAGTGATACGTAGGCAACATCGACCTTTTCCCAACTTACTGCTCTCTCTTTGCGCCTTGATTCTAAGGTGCAGTTATCCAATCGCTCATCCAATCGCTTATCCAATCGCTTATCCAATCGCTTATCCAATCGCTTATCCAATCGCTTATCCTAATGCTTATCGGACGATGGATTTATTACAACGTAATAAAATAATATTTAAAAAAAAAACTATGTAGCCATTTAGTGATACGCCTGCCTAGCTAATGGGAGTCCAACTCATAATCCGTTTTATCCGCGCCACGTGAGTGATATAATATATATATATATATATATATATATATATATGTATATATTATATATATATATATATATATATATATATATATATTATAATAGTATATATATATATTATAATATTATATATATATATATATATATATTATATATAATATATATATTATATATATATATATATACATATATATATATACATATATATATACATATATATATATATATATATATATATATATATATATATATATATATAGGCCTATAGGGAAATAAAACTGTGAAATAACATACCCTTACATATATACTTCATACTACTTACAGTGTAAGCAGGACCAGCCAGTACCACCAGACGTATTGATCTCACATAGGTAATTAAGTCAGGTGTCAATAGGCCCCCGCCCCATTATATCAGAGGTGTTTCATGATGTCGTCTGGGACACTTACGTCACCAAACGCGATCATGACCCTAGGCTAGGAGAGGCAATGCTACGAGGTACAGCATTTAAAAAAAAAAAAAAAATTTGCTGTTTAGTTTATTACATAGTTTAAACCAACTCCCCCCCCCCCCCCCCCCCATTCTTTTATCGACTTTGAAGTTGGAATTTCTCTTCCATGTCTTCACATTATCTTATCTTGAATAACATCTAAATACACTTTTTGTACAAAAGAAAAACTAATATATAATCAGTTTTATTGCGAAAAACATTTACCATGTCAATGAGTTTAATTAAAATAAAATAACAAAATATTGTATAAATCCAAACGAGGTTGGCCTACGTGTTGCCATTTGGACTTTTCTAGCCGGGGGTGCTATTGAAACTTTTGGATGTTGGGGAGGGGGGAGCACTTAATATGTTCGTTGGACGAAGCTAGCTTAAGTATATATTTTAATATAAAGTATACAGGGGGGGGGGGGGGGGGGGGGGGGGTGGGGGGTGAAGACGTGATTGGCAAAAAAAATCACCCCTCTTCAACCATAAAAACTCGCCTCGTTCAACCTCGACAATGTGCCCCCCCCCCCCCCCATTAGGAAGAAAGGGAAGCGGTTTTTACTAAGTCACCGGCGCATGACGATATTGACTTTGTTGTTCTAAAATCAAAGCAGACAACAGCTCAGTCATCGGCAGAGTGTCTTCCAGGCATCTGTCCACCCCCCGAAGAAAGTCTACCGCCCCGCCCCCCGAAAATATACTTTTACCAGTGTCCGATCCTTCCCCCCCTCCCCCTCGGAAAATGTAGTCTGCTCTCTCCCCCCCCTTCCCCCCCGAAAATTTCAAGTGCCCCCCCCCCCCCCACCCCCCGGAGAAAACAGTCTGGAATTAACACTGGTCATCAGCAGAGCTGTGTGACCGGCTGTTTGACAGTAGCGCAGCTCCAAATATGCTTGTTAATTTTTAAAAAAAAATTCTTTTGACACCCCCCCATTTTAGCAACGCCCCTGACCGTGCCCCACCCCCACACCCACCGCCTCCACCATTTTAGTAATAAACTTATCACTTCTAAGTGAATCCGGTATTAGGCTGAAGTTTTGAAAAAAAAATTAGGTCAAGTTAAAATTAGCCCGGCGTGTGCCATAAACTATGGAGCCTTTTGTTGCCGCCTGCATATGTTTGCGCATTGTTGTTTTTTAATTTCATTTAATTTTTTTAAATTTTTTTTTTAAACTTTCTATTGCTGCCTGCAGCGCAGTATAACCGGGCATAGTCTGGTAGATCTAGATCTAGTGCATGACATAGATCACCACACAGATTTTTTTTTAGATTGTAAAAGTTTATTTTTTTTCAAGCATTTCTAGTACCCTGGTTGGTTTTATCTACCAATAACCAATATTTAACTATAAATTTTTTTTATAGTTATTGGTCGCAGAGACGTCGCAAGGCGGTGGCGGGGGGTACTGATCGCACCGTGTGACACCATTCAGGGGGGGGGGGGAAGGGTAACACCAAGTAAAAAATAATTGCAAGATAAAAAGAATAAATATGTTTTTTCCTAGTTCAATGAATGGTAATTAGAGCTACAATGTATTTTAAGTACGTAATTACGATCCATACAAGGAAAGGGGGGGGGGGGCGGTGACACCATGACATATACATGCAAACTATAGAGCAAATGTGAACACTTAAAGCTTTTAACGGGGGGGGGGGGGGGTGAGGGGGGTGACACCAACTGCAAACTTTACAGAGCAAAAAAAAAAGGGGGGGGGGGGATTAACACAATGTGGTGCCGCACTGGTTGACATCCGACCTAGCGACGCAACTGATTGGTGGTAGTAAAATACTTGTAATATGGTTCCCTTATGTCATACTCTATGGTTCCCTTATGTCATACTCTATGGTTCCCTTATGTCATACTCTATGGTTCCCTTATGTCATTCTCTATGGGTCCCTTATGTCATACTCTATGGTTCCCTTATGTCATACTCTATGGTTCCCTTATGTCATACTCTATGGTTCCCTTATGTCATACTCTATGGTTCCCTTATGTCATACTATATGGTTCCCTTATGTCATACTCTATGGTTCCCTTATGTCGTACTCTATGGTTTCCTTATGTCATACTCTATGGTTCCCTTATGTCATACTCTATGGTTCCCTTATGTCATACCCTATGGTTCCCTTATGTCATACCCTATGGTTCCCTTAAGTCATACTCTATGGTTCCTTTATGTCATACTCTATGGTTCCCTTATGTCATACCCTATGGTTCCCTTATGTCATACTCTATGGTTCCCTTATGTCATACTCTATGTTTCCCTTATGTCATACTCTATGGTTTCCTTATGTCATACTCTATGGTTCCCTTATGTTATACTCTATGGTTCCCTTATGTCATACCCTATGGTTCCCTTATGTCATACTCTATGGTTCCCTTATGTCATACTCTATGGTTCCCTTATGTCATACTCTATGGTTTCCTTATGTCATACTCTATGGTTCCCTTATGTCATACTCTATGGTTCCCTTATGTCATACCCTATGGTTCCCTTATGTCATACCCTATGGTTCCCTTATGTCATACTCTAATGGTTCCCATTATGTCATACTCTATGGTTCGCTTATTGTCATACACTAAAACCCAACAAAGGGGCATACGCTAGCATACTGTAGCATACATAATCATACACTAACACCAAATACCGACCAGGTATCAAATATATATTTAATACATGTATTATACATCTGTTTATTAATCCGTGCATAAAGAGGAACTAAAGACATATAAGCAGCAGTTACTGTTAATTTTCCAGTACAGGTAGATGTTTGTGTAGGTTAGATCAAAGTAAATACAGTTGCATATACAAAGTATGTTCGTTTGTTTTCTATCTTGAAATATAAAGAATCAACAAAATTGATTTTTTTTTCTGCAGTTACAACTTTATTTTAGTGAAACACGGCCTAAGTTAACATTCATATCTCGCTACATTTCAATAATAACAAACACCCATGTTAAAATAGTTATTCCATTACATTTTTACAAATTAACAACTACCCATGTTTGCTCACAAATATTTCAATGAAACGTGTCTTTGGTTACCACTTCATCACTTCAACGTCAGGACTACCGCTATAAATATAACATATTGAACAACATTCTTCTAGTTTATTTTTAGTTAATGCAACGATTTAAAGCTTGAGTACTGATTAACGAAATATGAAATATAATGTAAAGATCGTTATGTATATGTTAAGATTTTTATTTACAGCGATACTGAGCACCTACATAATGGAACTATAATACAAAAATAAATGCGAGAAATACATTGCGAATAAATGCTTCTGTGGTTAGTTAAAAGATAAAGACATGTCTATGGTTAGAGTAGATTGCAGATACATATAACAAACGAGATCTTTGGTTGTTTTTTTGTCTTCCTGGATTGATATGACGTTTGTAATTCAACAATTGGTAAGTTTGCAGTCATACGATAAATTTTGTGTTCGTTTTTGGTATACATGTTTTGTTTAGGGATTTTTTGTATACAAGTACAAGTCTTGTTAAGTGATCTTTTTTATATAGATCTTGTTGATTGGTCTTTTTTGTACACAGGTATTGTTGGTTGATATTTTTTGCATACATGTCATGTTGGGTGTTTTTTGTTTGTATACAGAGCTAGTTTTGTGATCTTGTTTAAAATTCTTGTTGAGTTTTCTATTTGTAAGCATGGCTGGTTGAGTGATATTTCTGTACAAAAACTAAAACATGTTTTGATGAGTAGCTGAGACGAGTTCTAGTGATCTTTCTGTACAAAAACTAAATCGTGTTTTGATGAGTTGCTGAGATGAACTCTGGCAGCTTTACACCTCCATGAGGTTGAACGTGTGTTTGACTTTGACCCAGATGTATCCCCTATGTTCGTCTTTACCTTCAGCGTTGCTCTTCACAAGCTCATATCTGGAAGTGAGAGAATTTTTTTTTATTTCATTTGTTTGCTTTTTTATATAATTTTCATCTAATTTTTTAATTATTTTTGTAGCTAAAGTATCTGCAGACTAAGATTTTCTGCTTTTGTTATTATTGTCTTGTGGAGGTACGTATATCCACTGCATAGATAAATAAATACAGTATTTGCACTTTTTTGTGAAATCGATGTGCATTTCTACTTATATTGTCAATAATACAAGTTACAAGAATACCCATGTATAATGTCAAGAAAGTAGAATGCTAATGTTTTATGAATGTTTAAATATAATATATTGCACTATTTTAATATTGGAATTAAGATTTATAAACTCATTTTTCTCGAGATTATGTTTCTTTTTTGTGACACACTGCATTTGTCCTCTATAAAGTCGATATATAAACCTACTGTATGGAAGTATTCTGCATGAAGCTTAAACCAATGTATTCGTCTCATCAAGGTTAGAACTCGTTACAACTTTAACAATCGATTCCCTTATTATTCATTGGATTTTTTTTATCACCTAGTATTGATTTAATTTATATATATATATATATATATATATATATATATTTATATATATATATATATATATATATATATATATATATATATATATATATATATATATATATATATATTATGTAATTGGTGATAATTCTAAAAGAAATTTTTTTTATATATGCTTTACTTAACAGTTCACGCAAAGCAAAGTTCGATCACTGCTGCAAAAGATTGTATACAAGGGGAGATAATACATTAATAAGAAAAAATACAATGAACGCCTACCTTCGTATGATGTTACCACCGGTGTATTCACTGGCTTTTGACATGGGTAATGTCAAGGTGCCGATTAGATAATCTTTGAGCATATTTCGGTCCCACACCTATTAGGTAAAATATCAATTTTAAATAGAGAACAAAAATACGAACACAGTTGATACATTGATAATTTATTTTTTTTCAGGTAAAATGTGGTTTAGCTTAACTCCACTACAACATCTTCTGTCGGTTTCTGTCGGTAAAATGTGGTTTAGCTTACCTCCACTACAACATCTTCTGTCGGTTTCTGTCGGTAAAATGTGGTTTAGCTTACCTTCACTACAACATCTTCTGTCGGTTTCTGTCGGTAAAATGTGGTTTAGCTTACCTCCACTACAACATCTTCTGTCGGTTTCTGTCGGTAAAATGTGGTTTAGCTTACCTTCACTACAACATCTTCTGTCGGTTTCTGTCGGTAAAATGTGGTTTAGCTTACCTCCACTACAACATCTTCTGTCGGTTTCTGTCGGTAAAATGTGGTTTAGCTTACCTCCACTACAACATCTTCTGTCGGTTTCTGTCGGTAAAATGTGATCCTGTCTTTCCACTCTGGTTTACTCATGGTCTCTGTGGTTGGTGTTCTGACCTCCTGATGCTCACACTTGATGATACAGTAGGCTTCGATACCTAGGGTACAGGGGTTCTAAAGTTACTGCAGTAGGGGGTACAAGGGTTCTAAAGTTACTACAGTAGGCTTCTAAACCTGGGGTACAGGGGTTCTAAAGTTACTACAGTAGGCTTCTATACCTGGGGTACAGGGGTTCTAAAGTTACTACAGTAGGCTTCAATACCTGAGGTAGAGGGATTCTAAAGTTATTACAGTAGGTCTCACTACGTAATTTACAAGGGTTCTAATGTTACTACAGTAGGATGTGATATGTAAGGTACAGGAATTCAAAGGTAAGAATCAATACCTTAGTTACATTGGTTCTAATGTTACTAAAGTAAACCTCAATAGCTGCGGCACAGGGGTTCTAAAGTTAATACAGTAAAATGTAATACTTATGGTACAGAGACTCTTAAGCTACTACAATATGCCTCAAATTATACGGTACAGGGGTTCTAAATTTAGTTCAGTACGCCTCAATACCTAAGGTTTAGGGGTTCTTAAGTACTACAGTAAATCTCAATACCTAAGATTGCAAATCGTAATTACAGAAGTTAAATAATTCACACGTATTGACATTGTAAAATCTAGAGTATGTCAACACGATATTCGCAAATTCTTAAAATACTTGTATACTATTTTCCTTGTAGACCAGTTTCAATAAAAAAAATCATCAAAAATTGCATTAAACTTCTTGTTGGGTACAAATGGCCAGGAAAGAACATGTCTGAAGACTGACCTGTTTGACCATCAGCCATCTTGAAGCCCTCCACAGCATGTACACAGACAGAGGTCGCTGCGACTTTTGGTTTTCTAAAGAACCGTGGCGGGCTGGGTACATCTTTCTTTAATTCTCTGGAAAAATTCGTGGTTTTTAATTCATTCAAGCTAATTTATCAACAAACGGGTTTCTAAAAATGACGTAGTAATCATAGGTTTAGGATAAAGGATCTTAGCCAAGAAATTAAAACCAAATTTAATTTTATTTATGTCGAAAAACACATTGCTAGAAACAAAATCCTTGAACGAAATCTATTTAAAAACACCGGACCAAAATTCAGTTCCTTCCCTTGAGTTATACTTTTCAAAAGGTTTAACGTTATTTTAAAGGGTATTGTTGAAAAAGTTATAGAAGATCTTGATTACATTAAAGTACATTTATAATGTGGGGTATCCAGAAGTGTTTCTTTCAGAGTGGGCTTTAATGTACAAGTGTTCTAATGTTATTACAGCAAACCTCAATAGCTGAGGTACAGGGTTTCTAAAGTTAGTACAGTAAGCCTCAATACCATTACCCTTACATCCCACAATCCCCACACTAATTAACCCCACCATCCCACAATCCCCACACACCTTAACCCCACCATCACACAATCCCCACACACCTTAACCCACCATCACACAATCCCCACAAACCTTAACCCCACCATCCCACAATACCCACACACTTTAACCATAACATCCCCACACACCTTAACCATAACATCCCACAACCCCCCACACACCTTAACCATAACATCCCACAATCCCCACACACCTTAACGCTAAAATCCCCACACACCTTAACCCTAACATCTCCACACACCTTAACGGTAACATCTCTCAATCCCCACACACCTCAACCCTAACATCCCACAATCCCCACACACCTAAACCCTGAAATCCCCACACACCTTAACCCTAACATCCCCACACACCTTAACTGTAACATCCCTTAATCCCCACACACCTTAACCATAACATCCCCACACACCTCAACCCTAACATCCCACAATCCCCACACACCTTAACCCTGAAATCCCCACACACCTTAGCCCTAACATCCCCACACACCTTAACTGTAACATCCCTCAATCCCCACACTTTTTAACCCTAACATCCCACAATCCCCACACACCTTAACCCTGAAATCCCCACACACCTTAACCCTATCATCCCCACACACCTTAACCCTAACATCCACACACACCTCAACCCTAACATCCCCACACACCTTAACCCTAATATCCCCACACACCTCAACCCTAACATCCCACAATCCCCACACACCTTAACCCTAACATCCCCACACACCTTAACCCTAACATCCCCACACACCTCAACCCTAACATCCCACAATCCCCACACACCTTAACCCTAACATCCCCACACACCTTAACCCTAATATCCCCACACACCTCAACCCTAACATCCCACAATCCCCACACACCTTAACCCTAACATCCCCACTCACCTTAACCCTAACATCCCCACACACCTCAACCCTAACATCCCACAATCCCCACACACCTTAACCCTAACATCCCCACACACATTAACCCTAACATCCAACAACCCCCACACACCTTAACCCTAACATCCCACAATCCCCACACACCTTAACCCTAACATCCCCACACACATTAACCCTAACATCCAACAACCCCCACACACCTTAACACTAACATCCCCACACACCTTAACCCTAACATCCCCACACACCTCAACCCTAACATCCCACAATCCCCACACAACAACCCTTACATCCCACAACCCCAACACACCTTAACCCTAACATCCCACAATCCTCACACACCTTAACCATAATATCCCACAACCCCCCTCCACACACACACCTTAATCATAACATCCCCACACACCTTAACCCTACATCCCCACACACCTCAACCCTAACATCCCACAATCCCCACACACCTTAACCCTAACATCCCCACACACATTAACCCTAACATCCAACAACCCCCACACACCTTAACCCTAACATCCCCACACACCTTAACCCTAACATCCCCACACACCTCAACCCTAACATCCCACAATCCCCACACAACAACCCTTACATCCCACAACCCCCACACACCTTAACCCTAACATCCCACAATCCTCACACACCTTAACCATAATATCCCACAACCCCCCTCCACACACACACCTTAATCATAACATCCCCACACACCTTAACCCTACATCCCCACACACCTCAACCCTAACATCCCACAATCCCCACACACCTTAACCCTAACATCCACACACACCTCAACCCTAACATCCCCACACACCTTAACCCTAATATCCCCACACACCTCAACCCTAACATCCCACAATCCCCACACACCGTAACCCTAACATCCCCACACACCTTAACCCTAACATCCCCACACACCTCAACCCTAACATCCCACAATCCCCACACACCTTAACCCTAACATCCCCACACACATTAACCCTAACATCCAACAACCCCCACACACATTAACCCTAACATCCCACAATCCACACACACCTTAACCCTAACATCCCCACACACCTTAACCCTAACATCCAACAACCCCCACACACCTTAACCCTAACATCCCCACACACCTTAACCCTAACATCCCCACACACCTTAACCCTAACATCCAACAGCCCCCACACACCTTAACCCTAACATCCCACAATCCCCACACACCTTAACCCTAACATCCCACAATCCCCACACACCTTAACCCTAACATCCCCACACACCTTAACCCTAACATCCAACAACCCCCACACACCTTAACCCTAACATCCAACAACCCCCACACACCTTAACCCTAACATCCCACAATCCCCACACACCTTAACCCTAACATCCCACAATCCCCACACACATTAACCCTAACATCCCCACACACCTTAACCCTAACATCCCCACACACCTTAACCCTAACATCCCACAATCCCCACACAACAACCCTTACATCCCACAACCCCCACACACCTTAACCCTAACATCCCACAATCCTCACACACCTTAACCATAATATCCCACAACTCCCCTCCACACACACACACCTTAATCATAACATCCCCACACACCTTAACCCTAACATCCCACAATCCCCACACAACCCTAACATCCCCCACCCCCCACACACCTTAACCCTAACGTCCCTTGGCTGTACATCCTCAGCAGGTATTGACTCTCCAGTCCCGGGTCAAAGGTCGACGGGATGAGACAGTAGCGCCCTCTCTGGAGCGGCAGACGAGACAGGATGCTGCGGGCTTGCACGAAGGGACCGGCATGCACTCTGTCCATTCTGTCGTGCATTCTGTACTTTCGGTTCAGGTCAGTCTGTGCCATCATCAAAATAGCTTCAAGAGTTATCGGTATTAGAGATTTATTCTGTAAGCTAAATTTGTAGTTTAATGTTTACAGAGTCATGAAACAATGTGTCATCAAGTAAATGAAGTAGGTTTATCGTAAGAATTGACTATCATTAAATGTGTTTATTAAATAATTAAGTTTATCGTTAACTATGTTTACTATCAAAATATAGGTTTATCGTCAAATAGATTTATCATAAAATAGGTAAATCGCCAAAATCTTTTTTTTTAAACGCATTATTAAACGACAATAAAATGGAAGGGTAACTATTGTTCATTATTCAACGAAATAATTTATTAGTCTATTAGATAGTCCGCACACTTATTCATGTTGAAACTGAATTAACTATAAAGTATTCTATTTTTAAAAAAAATATGTTGATTTAATAACCCCACATGTATGTTTGCTTCAAATTATTTAAATATGTCTGATCTATAACAGTATGATTAAATAACAAAAAAACTATTTTGTGAAAACAAACGGTTATTCTCCCAGTCGTCTAATATTACATAAGTTATCTCTCTTACCTTGATGATTGTAAAGCCAATGGTGTAGTTCTCTCCCCTGGTACGAAAGTTGGACGACCGTCTGTCTTCTTGTTCAAGGGACACCAGCACTTCTTCCTCGTCACTGTATACCTCTAGCAGGTACTGCCGTCAGAACAAAGTAAAATCAGGTAAAATTTTAGGTATCTTTACATGATTATACTATGTGCAGCATGTGGTTAATTAAAGCTCATACTTTGAGGAGCGGTTAATTAGTACACATCGTTGAGAGCTTTTAGGAACACTTAGAGTTTCTTCCAGGCGTCACTTCGGGGGGGGGGGGGGGGCTCCGAAGAAAGTCTACCGCCCCCCCCCCCCCTCCAAACGTAATGGATTTTATATAGTAGACATACACTTTTACTAGTGTCCGCCCCCCCCCCCCGAAAAGTGTTGACCGCTCCCCCCCCCCCCCCCCGAAAATTTCAAGTTCCCCCCTTCCCCCCCCCCCCCCGGGAGAAAAAAGTCTGGAAGAAACACTGGGTACACTACTGGCTAAAGCAGGGTTTTTTTTCTTCAAGGGAGGTCACGCTATTATTTATTCACGACCTAGACATATTCTTGGATTATCTTTTCCTTTTCAACTTAATTGATTAAATAATCTAACATTCTACGAGAGGTAATTAGTTGAGAAAGTGACTTTCATGTTAATGTATCTTTTTTTTCTCTGGAAATAAATTAGCAATTAAATAATTCCAGGGTAACTATAAAAGTGATTTTTGTTTTATTTTAATTGACATTTTGTCTAGGGCTGGTTGTCAATTACTTTAAAGTTACCTGGGGGTTGTCTAGGAATGTGGGGTGGTTGCCGCACCCCCCGGCCCTGATTCCCCTCCGCCACTCCCCTGTGGCCGACACCTCGTTCCAAGACCTCTTCAGCGTGAAGAAAGAGGTGTTCATCATGTGGCAGATGTCGATGTTGGTGAAGTAGCGACAAAAGTCGTCAAACGACATCCTACAAGACAAATTGTTTTTAAAATTTCATCAAACATCATCCTACACGAAAAAATTTCAAAATTGTATCATCAAGCGACATCCTACAGAATTAAAAAAGTTGTATCAACAAACGATATCCTACACGACACAATTTTAAACTTGTATCATCAAATAATCCTTAAAAGACAAAATATAATTTGTTGTATCATCAAACGACTTCCTAAAGACAAAAAGCAATTATAAAATCAAACGTTATCCTATAAGACAAAATTTAAAAGTTTCATTATCATTCGACAACCTATAAGACAAAATTTAAAAGTTTCATTATCATTCGACAACCTATAAGACAAAATTTAAAAGTTTCATTATCATTCGACAACCTATAAGACAAAATTTAAAAGTTATCTTGAAACGACATCCTACAAGTTGAAATCAGGTGTAGTATCAAAAGATTTTTTTAAAAACAAAACAAGATTTAGCATTAACTGCCATCTTACGAATCAAAACCGGGTTTATCACCAAATGAGTGCATTAAGAGAAAGATTTATCGTGAAGTAATATCTTATAAAATAAAGACAGCAGTATCAAAATACATTGTCCAAAGATGTCATAATCATCGAAATATAAAGGAAATGATGGTAATATCCTAGAATATATTAGGATAAAGATGGCCCAGTGGAATCGCTAGGTCGGGTGTTATCCGGTGAGGTATCTAATGGTGTCACCCCCCACCCAAAATCTAAATATAGGCATTATATATATATATATATATATATATATATATATATATATATATATATATATATATATATATATATTAGCCACATGCATATGTAAGTCTGTGGATACGCATGCGTATATGTATTTAAGTATCTTTTTATTCATTTCATCTTTTTAAAGCTACGCATTTTGGGCTGAATTCGGTTCTTTTTTTCATTTATAAGAAACTAGCGTACCCGTACCCGCGCGTTGCCGCGGGGATAGAAGAAAGTCTGACGAAATATATAAGAAGGGTTTCATTAATGCGTTACCGATCCCATGTTCTTAGACGCGTGACCTTGTTTTTTAAAACTGAGTTATTTAAATGTAAACAATGCCTGCGCTTGCATCATAAATATCGGGACACGGGTTTACCTACACTACAGCATGAAAACCTTGAGCGCACGTTAATCACTCACCGAAATAAAGAGGTAGATCACAGCCCCGATTTCTTTACCGCAGACGCCGCGTCCGGACCCTAGCTACTTAAAACTAACATAGCCGCCATAGAGCTCACAGGATAAACCAGAGTCGCTAAATAGCATCCTGAAACAATGATGCAGATTGCGTCATTCGCTAAAGTTACACAAATCAACACGATTGTTTCTGTAACACGTAAAATAAATTATTTGACGTGTTATAAACATCAGTGTGACTGATGCAATTAGTTAGCGTTACTAATTGGGTATGATTAGATACTCGATCTCAATTTCTAATTGGATCTTCTAAAAATAGAAGCTAATTGCATCATTCGCAAAGTGACGAAACCGTTACAGTAGAGAAAGATTTTCTCGCATTACAGTGTTACTTTTAGAAGTGTGACTTTTGTTTTTAGATTTGAGCTGCACTACAAAACTTAATTTTTTACGGAAATATTTTCATTATTTTGAGAACATTAGGCTTTGGAATTGTTTGGATTTTTTTATGAACAAAAGGAAATAACCCAGTTAATAATCTAACATTGGTTAATTTATCTGATTATTAAAAAAAAATAATTACATGGGCCGCTTTGGGGGCGGAAACTAAATATATTTTGCTATTTTTGCTTTGGTGTCATCCCCCTAAATGGTGTCACCCGGAGCTGTCCGCCCCCCCCCCCCCCCTGCCCTCCCACCCTTGCAACGCCGCTGAGATGGCCTAAAATAATTGTAATAACCAAACATCATCAAATGGAAAATAATTATTTTTTCCTTAAAATAAAGTGCAAAATGTATGAAATGGCTCTTTGCTGAACAAAAATAATTGCACAATCATTGATTTCGTACTGGAAAAAACATCTTTAAAATGTATGATTTTTTAAAATGTGTAATTATAAAACGACATTATACACCAAACAGAACTAATTAAAAGGCTCATTTTCATCCGTTGTTTTAATGGCCACATAAATCAATAACGGTTGAGCTGTAGGGTTGATTATACCCTTACAATTTTCTTATAGGGACTTCAGGGACCGGTGTAAGTTTACGGTAGGTTCAAATTTAGCGTGTATCTTAGACAAGGTCGTTGTTGAACAATTTTCAAAGTAAAATAAGATGTTTTTTATTTATTTAATGGCGTATATAATTTTAATACTTTTGCTTTTTTTTCATAAAATGTAGGCCTAGTTATTGTAAGACTAAGGCTAAGATAGGCGAATTGTTTTAACTAAACGTGTACTGATCAAAACAAGTATGAACAAAGCAAATCTCTAGCTCCCTCCCAGTTAATGTCACAGAATCTACCAAGTTCTGATAGTCACCAACACTTAGCAGTGATTAATGGTGACTGGCCACACCATTAACCGCACAATACCTTCTCGTGCATTCAAACAGACATACTCTACCTCATCTGGATTATCAGCCGACATACCCAAAAGAGAATTCCACCACTTACCAAAATTCACCGTTCTCGTCGAAAGTCAGCCCAAGTTCTTTCTTTTCCGATTCGCTGACTTTCTTCCACTCAGGAGATCTAAACATTGAAGCATATTGTTAGTTGCATCACTGTTTTGTTTTGCGTTTAGATCACTGGATTAAAATCTTAAAGACTTGAACAATAAGACTGTGGCTTAGCTAGGGGAGGGCGTGTGGGGCGCCTCTTTCTGGACGCCGACCCTAAAGAGGCGCCAAAAAGGGTAGACAAAAATTTAAAAGCGCATTTTAAGCTGAACTATACTAGTCTCAGACGTCTTGGGTCCCCTTAACTATGACCATACGTCTTCAGAAAATCTACAATATTTTACACATCTTTAACTGTTTTCTACATTAATTGCATGGAACAAAATTTTAAAAAATATTGAGATATTGACTAGTAAAAAGCACAACCAACCAGAGGCGTAGCGAGGGGGGGGGGGGACATATGTCCCGGGCGCCGACCTAAGGGGGAGCACCAAATTGAAAGTTTGAGTGGGGGGTGCAAATGAAAAGTTCGAGGGGGGGGGGTTCAAATCGAAAGTTTGTCCCCGGGCGCCGGGAAGGGTCGCTACGCCTCTGTAACCAACGTGTTCATTCAAATGAGAGGTGGGGTTCACTTTTTCACCGACTTGAATACCTATACAATAAATGTGAAAGGGTAGGAAGAAAATTGATATTTTCTCACCGGGGAATGTGTTGCTATAAGACAAATTGCTACATATTTTACTCGTTATACATTGTTTCTTTCAGGTTACTTCCAAGGGTCACTTGAAACTTCCTGCTGTAGAAGGGGGGCAGGGAGGCGTTGTTTAAAGTATATATGTTCTATACAAATTATGTATTTTTTTCTGTTTTGATCCATTAGCCCTTCCCCCCCCCCCCCCCAGGTTGTAGGGCTGGATGATTGTCCAAAACAGTTCGATATCTAATCTACCACAAACAGAGCAAATCTACGTCGCCTGTATTTACATAGACATTGGGCCGTGGTGTGATAATGGGATAATTGATTTTTTTGTAATTTTGAAAACACTTTTGTACTTAGAAGACGAGCTTGTGATGCCTTAGTTTAGATAACTTGGGTTATAGCCTTACAAACAGTTGCTTCATTTTGAATTAATGCTCTGATCGACAACTAGATCCAAATCTGACCCCAACAGCTAACCAATATTTGGGCCTTAAGGCACAAACATATTACGATGATGCCATTTTAAAAAATCCTACCCGTCGCTCCAGGCGCCCTTCCACTCCACCCCGCCCCAGGGGTTCCTGAGACGGATCATGTGGATCTTCTCCCTGTTGAAGAGACTGAACAGGCCCGTCCCCTTCAAGGGGATCTTCCTCACGTCTGTGATACTGTAGGCGTGGCCTCTGACCAGCCCCACGCTCAACTTGGTCTCCATCTCGGCGCTGGTCCGAGCCTAAGGTCAAGGTCAAAGGTCAAGGTCAAAACTTAAGGTTAAAGTAAAAGAAGGAGGCTAAGATTAATGTAATTTTATATACGCCAATATAAAATGCACTAAAGGAAGCTAATGTTTTGCCTTAAATAATGTTATGAGAGTAGAGAGCTGGACTGCTAACCCGTAAGTCTCGAGTTCGAATCCGGGTTCAAGTCAGTAGACCGTCCCTGAGTCCACCCAACTCTGATGGGTACCTAACTCACGTTACGGAAATTAAAGGCGGCTGGGCATAGTGCTGACCACACTATCTCTTCAAAATGCCGAGGTCACAGAAACAAGTGAACTCTACTTCACTTGCCCTATAGGCCGTCAGGTTTTAAAGGGAACTTTACTTACTTACTTAATGTTATTAGAATCACTTGCCCTATAGACCGTCAGGTTTGAAAGGGAACTTTACTTACTTACTTAATGTTATGAGAATCACATGTTATAGTGTCATAACCCCCACCCTCATGTTTTAAGATTAGAACGACCTAAATAAAGGATAACGCAATTTTATCTGTGTGATGATAAATCTAAACATAATTTGTAATGATGTAGGCATACATGTTGTGGTTGACATAAGCACGAGAAAATAAATTGCATCTAGGCCCCCTATATATGTAAAGATTAAACTCAGCTTAAGATGTAGTGGTAGGACGCGCATACATGTGTAGTTATAAAAATATGTGTAATGATTAAACCCGCCTCATGTGTATTGATCAATCTCACTTGTATGTGTAGTGATCGAAACTACCTGTATGTGTAGTGATCGAAACTACCTGTATTTGTAGTGATCGAAACTACCTGTATTTGTAGTGATCGAAACTAACTGTATGTGTATTGATCAATCTCACTTGTATGTGTAGTGATCGAAACTACCTGTATGTGTAGTGATCGAAACTACTTGTATGTGTAGTGATCGAAACTACCTGTATTTGTAGTGATTAAAACTACCTGTATGTGTAGTTATCAAAACTACCTGTATGTGTAGTTATCAAAACTACCTGTATGTGTAGTGATCAAAACTAACTGTATGTATAATGATTAAACCCGCCTCATGTGTATTGATCAATCTCACTTGTATGTGTAGTGATCAAAACTACCTGTATGTGTAGTGATCAAAACTACCTGTATGTGTAGTGATCGAAACTACCTGTATGTGTAGTGATCAAAACTACCTGTATGTGTAGTGATCAAAACTAACTGTATGTGTATTGATCAATCTCACTTGTATGTGTAGTGATCGAAACTACCTGTATGTGTAGTGATCAATCTCACTTGTATGTGTAGTGATCGAAACTACCTGTATGTGTAGTGATCAAAATTACCTGTATGTGTAGTGATCAAAACTACCTGTATGTGTAGTGATCGAAACTACCTGTATGTGTAATAAACAAACCCACATGTATGTGTAATGATTACACCCACCTACAGGTGTAATGATTACACCCACATGTATGTGTAATGATTACACCCACCTGTATGTGTAATGATTACACCCACCTGTATGTGTAATGATTACACCCACCTGTATGTGTAATGATTACACCCACCTGTATGTGTAATGAACACAACCACCTGTATATGTATTTGGTGTACTCACCTGTATGTTCGCACACATCAATGACAGGTTCGCCTTAGCTTTGTGTAGGATATCAAAGAGCCTGTCCCTCAACTGCTCACTTCTGAAGTCCTCTATCTCCAGCCCCTCCCCTATCCCACCTGTCATGTCCACCATAGCATCCCTGGCTTTACCTGCGGTCAATGCCTCGTAACATCCAAACAGCCTGCAAGAATTGACAAAACTTTTTTTGTAACACACAAAAAATCTACAAGAATTTACCAAACTTTTTTGTAACACTCTATCTAAAACAAGTTAATAAAAAGTCTAGTGACAATTTAAGCGCAATTTCCTTAATTAATTTTTTTGTGACCGAACGAAAGGATGTTTTTGAAAACTTTCTTCGGCAATATTGTTCTAAATTATGGCAGAAATCGATTGGTAAATGTTTCAAGTCGCTAAGTGGTCTGGTTGCCGAGATATGGGTCAAAAACTGCATTTTTTTTTCGAGTTTTTTTTTGGCTTTTCCGGGAAATCCAGGAAGGAATTCCGGGAATTTTTTTGGCCCACAATCATCCTCGGAACTTGCTTAACATATTTGCTTTTGGAACTAGTCCTCGATATTGCTTCGTTGAGGAGGAGATACGACTTAAAGCGCGGACACACATCCATCCATATACGAGATAATAATCGCAATTGCCAGTATGGAAATTGCGCTAAAAATTACAAACCTTTTTTCGTAACACCCAAACAGTTTGCAAGAATTTACCAAACTTTTTTGTAACACTCTATCTACAAGAATTTAGTAAATCTTTTTCGCAACACCCGAACAGGTTGCAAGTATTTACAAACCTTGTACTAAAGCATTTGTGTTGATGTGTAAGTATGTGTGCTAGGTTTCATAAAACCAATACAAGTAAAACATACGAGCAAACCTCATTCGTGCATTCCTATTTGTAAAACAAATAAAAAGTACAAAAATGCCTAACATAAAATGTTTGTGATTGTAAGAAATAGAAGCATTTAGCTTTGTATTAAAAGAATATAAATAGACAAAAAGAAAAACGATTTGAATTTCTATAACATTTACGTTGTACTCTACGCACACTGGTGTAAGGAAATTGTTTAAAAATTATTTACTACTCTTCAAACAATAGCTCAAAATAAAGTTCATTTTTAATTGGCCCTTTTCCATAATATTTTCATAGTGAAGAGGACTTGGATATGCTGTGCTTTAACAGAATGATCAGTAAAAAAGACAAGCGAACATTCTTTTACTAGCGAATACACAGTAACACGCCATCACACAATAGAAACTGACACCTGACAGAAGAACACAGTTACCTGCTGGACACACACCTGGCACACGCCCCCCCCCCCCCACCAACTCACTTGGCATAAGCCTTCTCCAAGAGCGCTGACCAGAACTCATCTCTAGACTGGGAGTGAGTAAAAATCAGTCGCCCGTTTCTCGTGGGCAGGTAATCGTCGATGACGACGTCCACCCAGGTACCACAGCGCCAGAATTTAAAGTGGAAGATGCCTAGAGATTGATTTCGACATAAATTATAGATCTAAAATGTTTTTCTATAAGTGTTTAGTGTCTGATTTTGTGTTGTTTTCTTTTAAATGATGATTTCTTTTAACACAATCCTAACATATATTTCTGTTGTCAGTTTTAATTGACTTAATATTTATTTAACTGTGTATAATCCTTAGGAGAATATTTATTTACCTGCATATTTAGAATCGGGCGAAAACACCTGGGATTTGTAGTCTGGCACTACCTAAACAAAGATCAGATTAAAGGTTTACCTCAATTATATAATATGTAGGCACATATTTTACATAGAACATTTTGAGCCTTGCAGTCATCAGGTAATTAAAAGGCACATCTTGTTGTATATATAACACATGTTAGACCTGACAGTCTACATACACATATGTATGTTCAATGCCATGACTAGACGTGTTTACTTGTCCTGAAAGAGCTTTATCGTCTCATTCAAGTTATACGGTCTTATTCACGTAATACTTCCAACTTCACGTTATACGGTGCCATTCACGTTATACGTTCTCATTCACGTTATACGTCCAACTTCACGTTATACGGTCTTATAAATGTTATACGGTCTTATTCACGTTAAACGGTCTCATTCACGTTATACGATCTCATTCACGATATACAGTAACCATCTTCTGAAGTGAATTCGAGTGCTCTACAGCTTGACAACGCCATCCCATAAACAAAATGTAATAACAAACTTTCAATACATTTCTCTTTGATAATACCGTGAGACACCTTGGAACAGAAATAAAGTAAAATTTGAAGGTGAGGGATGTGGTGGTGAATGTGGTGGCGGTGGTGGGGATGATTTTGGTTTTAGTGTTGTTGGTGGTCCTTGCTGTGTGGTGATGGCGATGGTTGTGATGGAAATGGTGCTGTCCATTACCTTTTTCCACAACAAGCTGTCCTCTGCGATACAAGCGCAAGATGCCACAAACCAACAATTGCCGAGACTACCTTGGGAGAAATCTTCAGCACTTGCTGTATCGATGAAAAATTTTGGATCGCTTACAATATCCTGGGGATAGAAAGAAAATGATACGGAGCACGTCCTTCAAGAATATTGTTTATATAGCCATGCGCGAGCCAAACACTGGACCCTACACACCCCACTCAAGGAAAACTATATGGGGTACCCGCTGATCTGGAGACCACAGTCCAGTTCATACACGAAGTTGGGCTTGTTTAAATCCTCCATCTTAATTAAGAATGAAGAAGAAGAAAAAAATGGATGCCGCAGTCAGAAAATAGAAAGAAAATGGAAAGAAAATGGAAAGACAATGGAAGCTACAGTCAGAAACGTGGAAAGAAAATGGAAGCTAGCGTCAGAAAATGGAAAGAAAATGGAAGCCAGAGTCGGAAAATTGGAAAGAAAATAGAAGCTAGAGTCAGAAACGTGGAAAGAAAATGGAAGTTACTGTGAGAAACGTGGAAAGAAAATAGAAGCTAGTTAGAAAATGGAAAGAAAATAGAAGCTAGAGTCAGAAACGTGGAAAGAAAATGGAAGTTACAGTAAGAAACGCGGAAAGAAAATAGAAGCTAGTCAGAAAATGGAAAGAAAATGGAAGCTAGAGTCAGAAATGTGGAAAGAAAATAGAAGCTAGAGTCGGAAAATTGGACAGAAAATAGAAGCTAGAGTCAGAAACGTGGAAAGAAAATGGAAGTTATTAAAGTTAGAAAATCGGAAAGAAAATGAAACCTACAGTCAGAAAATGGAAAGAAAATAGAAGTCCCTAACAGAGAAAAGAAATAGACGGAAATTTTTAGATCTTGTTTGAGGGAAAAAAACATTTATTTCGTTTTAAAAATTTTTTATACAGATATAATTTGACCCGTTTTGTTAATTCTTTATAAAATTAATTTGACGCTTTTATCGTTTTTCAAGATCCTTGAAATGGACACGTCTCCTATTTAAACCAAAGTAAAACATTACAAGATAAGAAAAAAAGTTTTTGTAAGGAAGGTTGTATGGCAATTATTTAATATTAGCATTTTAATTGTATATTTTTAATGCAAATCGCCTATTGAGCAATGCATTATCGGATCGAGGGTTTTCCGTGTACCGATTTTTGTGTTAGTGATTGGGTACGAGCTAAGACAAGGATATTTTAGTATTAGGGTCAGGGCTAAATTTAGGGCCATGAACAAGGTAATGATAGTGACAAAAGCACCTTCTTAATTGGTTATTTGCGTGGAAGCAGCTGACAGAGGCAGGACTGTCATGGGGGACTGCCAGGAATATTGCCGGTGACCGACAAAAAGGAGGCAGCTTTCTGTGGTGGCCCCATGTGTCTTAGACACAGAAAGGAAAATATATTTTTTCCAATGGCAAACTTTTAATTTGCACATTTTGACGTTGGCCAGTTAATTTCCCTTAATTATTGATACAAATAAATTATTTAAAAAAAAACAATCATTGAATTAAACTAATTGATTGTCGGTAACTATATTTAATTATTGAATCACTTTGATGTGCATTAAAGAAAAAAATTGCTTTTTACTAAAAAACATGAAAGTAATTCTTGGAGAATTCGCAGCTCACCTTTGGCCGTTTCCAGACGATGTCTGCAGGTGCGGGTCGACTGAAGAACAAAGACGAGCCGGTTGGTGGGAATTCCCCATCCACAAACAACTTCCGCTTGCTCAAACATCGTCTGCGCAGCTTGGCAAAGTGCTGGCCCTTGAAAGGTTTGGATTTGGATCCGGTCACCATTATATCTGTTGGAGAGAAAAAATATTTTTAGTTTTTATTCTGACACATTTTTTTTAGATAAGCAGAACACAGTGACGTAGTTGCTTGGATTTGGATCCAGATACCATAATATCTGTTGGAGAGAAGACAATGTTTTTGCTTTTTTTTTTTTTTTTTGCATTTTTTTCTGACACACTTTTTTAGACAAGTAGGACATAGTGACGCAGTGCCTTGGATTCGGGTCCGGTCACCATAATATCTGTTGGAGAGAAAAAGAACATAATTTGTGTGTGTGTGTGTGTGTGTATGGGTTTCTAACACATTTTTTTAGACAAGTAGGACAGTGGCATAGTGACTAGGATTTGGATCCGGTCACTGTAATATCTGTTGGAGAGAAGAAAAAAACTTTTTTTTTTGCTTTTTTTCTGGCACTTTTTTTTAGACAAATAGGACATAGTGACGTAGTGGTTTGGTTTTGGATCCGGTTACCGTAATATCTGTTGGGGAGAAAACCTTTTTTTTTTTAAATTTAATTTTTTTTATTTTTTGTGTGTGTTTCTGACACATTTATTTTTAGACACGTAGGACACAGTGACGTAGTTGCTTGGATTTGGATCTAGTCACCATAATATCTGTTGGAGAGAAGAAATGTGTTCTTGTGTCTGTGTGTGTGTATGTGTGTGTGTATGTGTGTGTGTTTCTGACACATTTTTTTAGACAAGTAGAACATAGTGACGTAGTGGCCGAATTAGGAGAAACACCACAAGTGTCTCGTAAGGAGACGGGTGAGGAGAGGTTTTACAAGCTATAGAAAAAAATAAAAATCAATTGTGGGTCAAATAGGGCTTGTAAGTCTCGCTCTCTCTCGCTTAAATTTTGAAATCTCGTGAGCCAGGGAGAGATAATTTTCCGAACTGAAATAACTTGAGCATGATTCTCATTGTTGACCAGAAAAATATGTTGGCTATTTGTTTCTAGACCTCGCTTCAAGATTTTAAAATACCACGTGTACTCGAAATGCAACAATTATTTTAAAAATTCTAATAAGAGAATACAATTAAATAACAGTAGTCCAGTGCTTTTAATAATATAATATATTAATTATTGTAACTACGTTTAAGACAACTTGTTGCAGATTGGAATACATAATAACAAAGTGTACGCTTCATCAAACAACAACAAAAAAAACACAATTAAACGTAGGCTATATTTTTTTAAGCTAGCCTACTCTAATAGTGTATCAATAGCATTCTTTACGTTTTTAAACAATTTTGCAATAGCGGAAGTAACTTTTCTAATTGTTTTTTTTTACCAATTCGATACATGTGTTCTCGTTTGGTTTGAAAAATACTAGCTGGCAAGTACGAGAAGTTGGTGACCTACTTACAGACCTCTTGGTAAAAAGGACGTGTTGTTGTGAATGTTTGTGTTTGTGATAACAGACACTCCTTGCTTTCCAGCTTAGCTGATGAGAGAAATGTCGTCTTTAGCTAAGCATCCTACACTGTCTTCATTTGCCAGAAAAACCCCAAGTTTGCGTATACGTAATTCAAGTTATCGTTTTTAAAAAGGCGTTCCACGGGCCGAATGAAGCTGAGTTCATTTTTTGTATGACCTCGGGAAATGAAGGGATAGTCTGGTCAGTACTATGCGCAGACGATAATTTTCTCTAATTTAGGTCGGGTTACCCATAAAAGCTGAGTGAACTCAGAAACGTCCTGTGGACACAAGCCGGTATGCGAACTCTCCTTTCGGGTTATAAGTCGTACGCTCTACCATCCGACCACGCCGTCCATTTAGTTAGGCTTTCTTCTACAAAGTTTCTTCCAGGCAGAACCCACCCACCGTCACCCCCGAAGAAAGTTTACCCCCCCCCCCCACCCCTCCCCACTTCCCAAAAGAAATGGAAATTAAATAGAAAACATATGCTTTTACCAGTGTCCGCCCCCCCCCCCCTCCTTCCGGGAAATGCAGTCCACCCCCCCCCCACAACCCCGAAAATATCAAGTGCCCCCCCCCCCTCCCCCGTATAAAAAAGGCTGGAAGAAATACTGGTCTTCTATTCTCAATGAACCTACACTTTTTCAATGTAGTGATTATTGCTAATGAGCGAATATTTGTTATCTACACTAAATGAAAGAAACTAAAACATAACTCTGTACAAGAACTCGTGCACAAATTTAGTTTAAATTTTACACAAATTACAGTCTAAAATATTATAATCATCGTTCTGATCAATAATGCTATTTTTAAGATCATCCTGAATCTTAATATCTGATAAGTTTGTATGCAAGTACATTATTTCACTTATCCTCAAGTTTAAAAGTACTGTCTATATTAATGATCAGTACCATGCCCAGCTGCCTTTACTTTCCCTAACTGGTGTATATGTATTATGTACCCATCACACCTGGGTGGGCTCGTGGACGCTTTTTGGAATCGAACTCGAGACTTTCAGGTTAACAGTCGCATGCTCTACTATTCGATCACGCCTTCCCATAATGTCTTTATTGGAGAATGTAAATTTTATAGTTAAACAAAATCATCGTCTTCTAAATGTACTGGGGTTTTAATCAATATTTCAGTAAAAGAAAACTACACGGCCAAATTGAATTTTTGGATTTCGCAATAATTTTCTCATCTTTATCAGAATTTCACAAATATAGTTTCAAATTAGGCGTCGATAAATGACAAAGAGTGTTGAACTTTGCTGGGTATAATAAAAGACATAGTTATGCTTTAAAGACTGAGGCTTTTCAACGAAAGCATGTCATTGTGTGAAGTGGGAGGGGGGGGGGGGGAATTGGTGGTAAGGGGGGGGGGGGGGTATGGTGGTATACATTAATATTAATAAGCAGAGTAAAATAAATGAACTTTATTTTCGTTAATCAAAATTGATATTATGTTCAGTGATATTATCTTTGAAAATCAAACTATCACTACATTGTTTATGTTTTAAAAATTTGACCAAATTTCTATTGTAATAAATCAAACTGCATATATGTGTTTTGTTAACTGTCACTATATTATTTCAGTCCACAAAACATAAGTTTATGTTTCTAAAATATTGTCATAGTTTTTTAGTAAACCAAACTGTAAAGAATGTGTTTTATATTGATTTAGTACACGAAATATAAGTTTATGTTTCAAAAATTTGACCATAATAATTTGTATCTGAGTAAATCAAACTACAATCCAGGTCTGTGGTAATTCTCAATGTTACAAATTTGTTTCAGTAATTCGGACAATATCACTGTTGATGGTTTTGTCACTCTGCTCCTTCAGGGTGATGGTGACATAACTCTGACAACGGGACACTACTCACAAGTTAGACAATCAACTATTTAACATGACTAATGAGACTGACGTGACTAAATGGGACTTCCGAGTGACTATTATTATGAAACCCTGCGTGACAAAATGGAACCCATGTGATCAAAACACCTTTTTGGTTTTATATCTGTATTTTATTTATGTATTTTTTTTTTTAATTTTTTTTTTGAAGGCGTTTAATTTTGTTGACAAAACCTTTGTTTGAAACTAATTTAGGACAACCATTTTTGTACAAGCTACAGGTAAAGTAATGTTTTCTACAACGCTTCCCACAAAACGAAGAGTTGTATTATTCTCAGTTCCAACTAGCGATTAGAAAGAAAGGGGTGGGATCAAATTTGAGTCACAAGTCAGATCACCTTTGACCTTCGATATTTCAGGACTGTGTGACGTGTTAAATGAACAATTTCTCGACAGAAACTCTTTGTTTTCTATCCCCCCCCCCTTTATTGTGACAACCTTGACCGTACAAAGAAAAGATTGGCTGTAACTTAGTCATTACGTGGTCTAATTTTAGCGTTAGCAGTCAAAAAACGGGTTCTCTGGTTTGTTTATTTCTGTTTTAGGGTTCATTTTAAAGCTGTGGAGGGAGCTAATTTCAATCATTACTTGAATAGAGTCTAACGCAGACAGCATGCAGAAATTATTATTTAAAACTATGTTAAATTACCTCTATGAATTAAAAAAAAAAAAAAAACAAAAAAAAAACTTGAAATTTTTTTTCGTTTTATGTTTTAAAAAGGTACATACTCACCCCCTCCTCATAAACACCTAGCTTTACCTTTAGCCTAATTCAAGATCTAATCCGTATTGCAATATAAATTATTTTTAAAAATTATTTATAATTACCAAACCTTAACTTCAACACTACCCTATTTTTTTTTCCTATGAAGCAATGCAATGAAGAAAGGTTAGAATGACCGGTACTGACCTCACGATAACTCCAGCATGAACTAAAACATAACACACAAATTTACGACAAAAACCTAACACGATTTTTAAGAATCTTCTATTTCAGCGTCTATACGTCTTTGGTGATTAGACTATACCACCAGCACATTTGGCATTTGACTGTGTGTAGACACAAGACAACATCAGAGTTTCTTCCAGGCATCTCTTCGGGGGGGCGAAGCCCCCCCGAAAAATTTTTACCGCCCCCCCGAACGAAATGAAATTTATATAGTTTATATAGAAAATATATACTTTTAACAGTGTCCGCCCCCCCGAAGAAAGTCTACCGCCCCCCCGAAAATTTCAAGTGCCCCCCCGGAGAAAAAAGTCTGGAAGAAACACTGGACAACATAAAGGTTGGCGTGAAAGAAAGACACACGATTGCTCACCAATCCAGACTTTTGTTGTTCTCTGCTACTGAAATCCGAGGTTAGAGTTCAACTCACAGCGGTTAAGACGCGCAGACGGCTAGGGTAGAGAGAGAGAGAGAGAGAAGGAAAGGGGAGAAAACAAGCGCACGCGACCTCCACTGTCGATGTTTCTAATTTTAGATTACACGGGCCAATCAGCGGCCGTTGTGGTCTAAAAATAGACGAATCAGCTGGAGCAACCCGAATTTCCCAGATGTTAACTGTTTCGTAGTTTTTTTTAGTTCCTACTTTTATAGAGATCTAGAATTCTAGAAGAAAACTGGATTTTATTTTAAACTATTTTGGGTTTAAGCCTAAACATGTAAAATAAA